AGTCAGCTACTGCCGTACATCGGTCAGGCCCCTCTATTATGGCTTCTAGTGATTCTTGCTACACAGCGAGTCCTTCTGTATGAAGCGTACATATGATTCATGACTTCACTATCATGCATTCATAAGCCGGCCAGCGCAATACTTCACTTTCTGGCCCTTTTTGAGGTTATATACACTATTAGTCTAGTTCCCACCTACTTCCTGTGAAGATGCTAATTTGCAAAGTATTTTTCATGCTCAAATTCAGGGAGTCATGGTCCGTGCCTGACCAGAACGACCAAAACCAGCGCTCTCAACTTTGGCACGTTAACTATGGCGGGGTTGCGTAAGCTTGGCCTCTTACCACAGGCCTCGGTGCGCTCGGATATACTACACCTAGGTAACTTTGAGCTGTTAGTCATGCACCCATTTTGACATAAATAGACAATCCAAATGATCTATCATACATCTCATTCGCAAGGTAAACGAGAGCTAAGAGGAACTCAGGTGTATCTTAACTGAATCTGTCGTTTAGGATATTATTTACAGGGGTCTGAAACAATGCAGATTCTTCCGCCAAAATCATTTGAATTTGGAAAAGAATGTTTCTCTGCTGACTTACCATCGGGTGCCAACCTTCGGAGCAAAATTAATGGAAAATCAAAGCTCCACTGGTCACTTGAGTTTGGGAGGAATGAAATCGATGTTCAGTCGTCAAATAGTTTTTGGTAGTTTCACAATTGGTGTGGCCTTTTGGCAGTCGACTAAACAAATCATTCAACGTAACGCTCGTGCCATGGTCTGACTCAACCTCAATTTGCTAAAAACTTAGTATTTGGGGTGTATGCAACTGCCCGATAATTTACATAGCTATGTGACTATTGGTTCTACCGTGAGAAATGTTGTGACCTAAAAGGGATACTATCTGACAGCTTCTATCTTGAATTCTGTCCCGTGTCACCGTCGTACACATTGGATGAGTAAAACGAGTCATAGACCGAAGGCGTAAATTTCTCTACAAACAGCCCACCAATGAGGATGTAGCTGTTTTTACCTTGAACCACGGAGAGCATGCTAATGCAAGTTATGTGCAATAGACGAAAATAGTGCTTTACCGAGGCCAGAGAGCTTGTCTTCAAAGGTAAGGCACAGGCGTTCATTGCGGCGTCAGTGTGTTTAGCAGAGGGGAATTATTGCTGGCCGCAGAAATTGGACCGACGGCAACAAATGCATTCGTCTGCCAACCACTGTGGTTTTCGCGGAGTCTCGAGTGAACCTCTTGTTTGTTATATTGTTCAGCTGAAAGTGCATATCATTCGGTATGTTACTATACGAGCATTTAAACGATCTCGGCAGGGTTGCGTGAGGATTGTGCCGAGTGCGTTTGAAGTGGCAGCGAGCCTTGTCAACCTCGAGGATAAGGGAAGAAATAAAGGTCTGATGAGCTACATGTTTTCGGGATGGTGTTTAGTCCCCTCGAATCTATTACAGGACACGTTATCCAGCGCCCTTTGTCAGCATAGTGGTAGCTACCAGCAGCAATCCATCAGCCATTGTGTCGCTGTGCATGTGGTCCGAGTTTGCTTATGGAGGATGCCAAACTGAGGAAGATTATTTGAGTCGTTTGGTCAGTAACAAGCCACAAATGAAAACAGAACGATCACAGGTGTCGGTTGGTGTCTTGGACGTTAGGATTTATCGCTAGTTTATAGAAGGGGGTAAGAGAATCTGGTTGATATCTTTCAGTTATTTTTAATTTGAATATAATTTATATAATAACTCAAAAGACACGGAACATCTGATTTCACAGGTTTTTTAAGATCAGATAAGCTCCCAGCGCATAGTAATATGTCCGCCGCGTCCAAGGGTGCGGATTTTGCTGTACCCTTTCCTGATATCACAACACTTTTGTTGGGGAAGAAAGATCTGGAGGTGAAGTGTGACATCCGCAATGGAGCAGGTTCTAGTTGGTGAGGTGTCGCTGACACTAGATGGAAATGAACGCTTTCAGAAGTACAGATCCGGTGATCCGTCAAAGAAGTCTTGATGTACTAGGCCAAGTGGTTGGTGGCAAACACGTCGCCGTAGTTGGTATGTACCTAGAAGCAATATGAGAGTCTTGCGGGTAGTGGTTAACGCCTGAATGGGCAAATGTGAGTTGTAGAAAACGGCTTACCACCCGAGAAAACACTCACCGGCAGGGCGTTAATAAGGGTAAATGTTACAGGTAGCCATGAAAACCGGTTCCTGGATCGACAACCCGAAGTAATCCAAGATTAGCAGAATAACGGTGCTAATAGAACTGCAGTTCGGTGCTGGAAGGCCGTTTATTTTCCTGGGAAACGGGTTGACAGGAGGGTCCTATTGTATATTCATCGGCCCGGGTGCCCGGCAGAAAAGGTACCACACTAAAGAAATGCTCGGGTTTATGTGCTGAGATGGAACTGGTATGGGAATGCCGCTAGGAAACTAAGGTGCATGTGGAGAGTGGATAGATGTTAGCAGGAGACAGTCAACCCAGTCCACAAACATGTTGCTCGTCCATCACTTTCTAGCAGCAAAATTATTAGCCTTACTAGCATACGGCGAAAAGCGGTGGAGGGCATGCTGAAGTCGGTCATTTCGAATCACCTAACTGCCAACTACATGATAGCCCCCCTCAGACCGAATTCCTCCAAAACTGTTTTTGAATGGAAAACATGGTTGTATTCAGTAACTACAACTTGAGATAAAAGTCACATCGAATGTCGCCCTTTTTTGATACCTCAAAGGTATCCAACCGAGCGGTACACATTTCACAGCTCCACAAATAAAGCGCTCCGGAAATCCAGATGATTATTGAACCACTAGAACTAGACGAGTGTCGACAATAAGAGGGCCCGATAATTACTACGCCCGGTTTGAACAAGGTTCGGTCGATAGGGTTTTCGTCGTTGGCTACATGAATGCACGGCTCGGACGGGGTGAGATGATTTTCAAGATCAAAATCCGCACTACTGTTAAATGGCAGCTTTTATCATTTCGTGCAGTTGGTGTGTGAAATAGTCTTTCTACAACGGCTGTTGACGCCACATATAAGGCCGAGTTCAAGTAACTATTGGATACGCCTTTTATGTGAGTCGCCGCTGTGACAAGCACCAACTCAGTCTTGGAATCGTGGGCAGAAACACTGTTCTACTGTATCAGTCCGCGAGTCCGTGAAGGTGAATGGACATTTTTATACAAATAATACAACAGAATTACGGGACAGGTCCCGAAGTGGCAACGGACTATATTTATTTGGAGTGACCAAAACAACTTCACGATATTGTATTGGTCGGGCTGCTCAAAAAGCTAATTTACCAGGAGTGGGTGACGAAGAAATAAAAATACTAGCGCTTGTTTGAGTATACAATGTTAAACAGGTAAGATGAAACAGACTCACTAAGAATTGTTCCCTTTAAAATAGTTCGCCATCGGCCCAGCTCAGCGAATAAACAATAATCCAATCGTGGTTTTCCGGGGGTCCTCTTCTGCACAGTTCAAAGATATAATCGATTCATGAATGACCGCTGTAAGCGCCAGCGGAATCAGAAGAGAATGTCTGAGTACGTGACCACGTTTTTATTGCGGGAAATATCACAAGTGCGCGTTTTTGTAGTTTTTCGTATTCACACGTGAAAACTTGGCAAAACACGTAATGTTTTATTGAAAACAAAAGAAAAATGCAAAGCACCACTATATCACCCTGGGCATCCGGTGCATCGTTTGCAATTGCTGTTTCTGTGATCTAGCGGGTTTTGTGATAACGGGCCAATAAGTTGACAGATGCTGTCTAGACCTAGCGCGTTTACCAGGTGTCAAAACCTCTTGCCCAGGGGGTAGAAAGTTTCCTATGAACTCGTCCAGAATGTTCACGAGGCTTGGGCGATGTTATTTAAAAAATCAGCACGCAGTCGGATGAGCCACAAGCTACCCAAAAGGCGTTTTCTGAAACAGAGGTCTCAACTTTTCTCAAAGGTTAACTGCAAGAGACAGAAGACGAACTGGCATTTTGTTAAACGCAGAACCGCAGTAAATTCGAAGTCCGCCAATGGAATATACAAAAACAAGCCACCACTCTGGACCTCGCCCTAAAACACACAAGCGTACTGTTCAGGTACATCGCCGCACAAACAAGTCATTCGCATTCTTCTTGAGAAACAGGTACGAAGAACCTACGGGTGACCCAACAGTGGCATCTGAAGTTTACGGAGAACACTATGCAGGTCTGTATTCAGCCCCAGCGTCCTCGTCACATCCAGTCCCCTAAAAACGTAAATACGAACGGCCTCCAACCGACTTGATCTTCACGGTGGAGAACGTTCGTCAACTCTTGCACAACATCAACCCACTCTTCGCGTTGGGGCCCCACGAGGTCTACCCAGCGATCCTGAAGGAAACGTCGTCTTCATTGGCAACTCACTTCTACCTAGTGCTTCATCAGTCGCTTAACAAAGGTCGCCTTCCTTCTTCTTGGAAGGAAGCGATTGTCACGTGGGTCTACAGAACAGGTGACCCACTACCGCATGGTAGCTACAGGCCTATGGTCTCCAATGGCGTCCATCAAGGTTCCGTTGTTTCTGACATACATCAGCGACCTTACAGGCGCCTTGAAAGCCCGTGTCTACTTTCTTCGGACGACTTGAAATCCCGGAGTGCCCCCCAAATGGATGTAGACGCTGCAAAGCGGTATTCGTTAGACTGGTGCCTTCCTCTGAATGACGAGAAGTGCGTCCCTATGGCATTTGGGTGAGACCCAGCGAACGACTTTTTATGCATGATGAGGAAGGATCAGAAAACATCATGGAGGAAAACGACAAAAAGGCATCCGCCATTTACGGATGTTTTAGCGCACCTTCTCTTGTATTACTGGCGTGGACTTCTGAATACTTTATGGAGCCTACGTCAGGCCGCTCCTTGATTGTGCCAACCAAGTTGTCTACTCAGGACGCAAGAAAGTTGCCACCCTGATTGAGCGTGTCCAGCGGACCGTTAAGAAAATGGTTGCCGGCCTCAAATCCGTTGACTACAAAACGCTTCCCGTGATGCTTGACCTCCCCCCTGGAGAGGAAAAACCCGAGGTGACCTAGTTCTTACTTATACCCTGTTTGAAAAAGGTTTAACCAACGGGTGTTTTGTAGTGGTCTGGCTACCCAATAAGTCAGTTTACCAGGAGTGTGTGGCAAAGAAATAAAAATGATTACGCTAGGTTGGGTATACAAAAATAAAGAGACCAGACGAAACAGACTCACCAACAATTGTTCTCTTTAAAATAGTTCGTCCTTGGCCCAGGTCAGCGAATAAACAATAATCCAATTATGTTGGTCCAGAGGTCTTCTTCTGGACAGTTCCCACATATAATAGATTCCGAAGATGGTCTGAAATGTTTTGATAACGGAGTCAGTGCATGAGACTCGCGAATGACCGCTGCAAGCGCGAGCGAAATCAGAAGAGAGAGTCGAAACACGTGACCACGATTGTATTCTGTGAAATTGTACAAAGTGCGCGTTTTTGTAGTTTTTCGTATTCAAACAAAAAACTATTATGCGATTGATGAAATACGTAGTGTTATAATGGAAGTAAAATAAAGGTACAAAACGCCGGACAAACACATGGCAAAGACACGGTAAGAAGATTCTCAAGCATATGCGCACACATCCATAGGGCAAAAAATTTTCCCATTGCGTGGAATAACCTTCGTCCGACGGTTGCCGGCGCTCCCTCTAGAACGCAGTTCCAAGCGCTATTAGATACTTACTTATGCTAGTTCCCATGCTGGAAAGCATACTGCTCCACTCTGGGAACTTAAAAAGCAGTGCTACACCCTTTTTCCACTAGCACATTTCATGTAAACGAAAGCCGCTGAATGACAAGAACAAAACCAACCCGAGAAACTTGGGCAGAAGCCTCGATCCTGTGTATCAATCTGTGAATCCGCAAGGGGAGTAACTACGAACAGCCCCTAACCGACTTGGACTTGGGCAGCTCGATCCTGTGTATCAATCTGTGAATCCGCAAGGGGAGTAACTACGAACAGCCCCTAACCGACTTGGTCTTTAAGGTGGGTGGAATTCGTCAACTCTTGCAC